TAAGTGTTTCTAAATGTCAGGGTAAACCTCTTGGGTCCATTCCCCCATTGACTGTCTACCAGTGGGAGTGTTTAGTATTGGTTTGGTCTTGGTCTGGGCATGTTTAGTATTGGTAGGCCTATTCGCAAACATTATAGCTTGTATCAACTCTATCCCCACTCTACCAATCAGGAAAATCAAAGAGGTTGAATTACATGCTGTAGGTCCCACAGTGTCTCAGTCAGCTTGGGCTGCTACGACAAGATACCATAGACTGGGAGGCTTCAACGACAGACATTTGTTTGTCACAGTTCTGAAGACAAGGAAGTCCGAGATCAGGGTACTGACAGATTTAGTTCTTGGTAAGGGCTCTCTTCCCTGCAGATAGCTGCCTTCTTGCTGTGGCCTCACATGGCTGAGAGAGGGGGTCTGGGGTCTCTTCCTCTTCTAAGGGCACTAATTCCACTAATTCCCAACCCTCATGACTTCATCTAAACCTAATTGCCTCCCAAGGCCCCCCCTTCCTAATACCATCTCATTGAGAGTTAATGCTTCAGCGTATTAATTTGGTGGGGTTACAAACATTCAGTCCATAACACACAGTTAGCCGGAGCTGGGATTCATACTCTGGTTCACAGGATTCATTTCCTACACAAGTTCCACAGAAACTCTACACCATTCTAGAATAGTAGATTGTTCCTGCCTGACTGCTATCCTGCTGAGGATAGAATGAGTTTCTTTTTATTTATGAAACACCTTTCAGCATAAAATTCAATCTTCACCATATGAACTCTATTTTGAATATTTTCCTAAATGCTCATAATTACTGGACATTTTCTAATCATAAACTACTTGACAGTATGTAATGATGATTTTCTTCATTTTTGCTGACAAATTTTCCTAAGAGATATTCACGACAAAATTCTGCAAACACCCATGTACTTGAAGACAGAAAGTGTTCAAAAGTAAACCTCAGTTGTCTAATGAAGTCTTTTTCTTCACCCAAAATAAAAATGAAACTTTAACCAGTACAACAAGGTCAAGTTTTTTGTTCCTTGTTTAAACTAACCATTCTTTATTGCACAACATCTAATGTCAAAAAATATAACAACACTTTCACTTCTAAATACTTAGAGGAAAATTTAACCACATCCCATTAGAAATAGAACTCCCAAGAGTAAAGCACTTAACAATTAAATAATCTGCTTCCATGGCTAAATTGCATATTTTATGTAAACTTAATCTTTAACAATTTTAAATATTAATACAACACCTGGACTATTCTTAGCAATTATCTTGTTCTGCTTACCCAAAGTAGGACATTTTATAAAAGTTATTTTTGTTTTTAATGCAGTATTTCTGATGCATAAAATGGTAGATATCCTAAAAATTCTAAAAAAAATAAAAAATAAATAAAAATTCTTCTCATGTATAGACACTCTTAGGGGAAAAATAATAATCAATGTCTAGTTTTTCCACTCTGTATTTTTCCCTAATTTAAACTTATCCTCAAAAAAGATATATGATCTCTAGAAGACAGTATCCTAAAATGAATTCTACTATGTTTCCCAAATGCCATTAAAAGTCAGGATACTATTTTGGTTATAATAAGTTCCATAAAGGTTTGAGCCATGGTGGTTACAGCCCAGCATGCAAGCATTGGATCCCAGGGACATATAAACCAATATTTCTATAAGGGTTCCTTGAAATACTAAAAAATATTTTGTAGGAAAAAAATGACTACATGGCCAAATAAGTTTGGGAAATTCTGATCAAAACAAAGTAAAACATTATGAAACATTTAAGCATCTAAAGGAAGAAATGTATAACAAACACATATCCACTAAATCAATGAAACAAATATTACCCTTTTAGAAACTAAAATCAAGAACTTTTCTTTAGGGGACACCTGGGTGGCTCAGTAGGTTAAGTGTCTGCCTTCAGCTCAGGTCATGATCCGGGGGTCCTGGGATCAGCAGGAGACTGCTTCTCCCTCTGCCTGCCACTCCCCCTGCTTGTGCTCTCTCTCTCTCTCTGACAAATAAATAAATAAAATCTTTAAAAACAAAACAAAACAAAATGAACTTTTCTTTTGGACCATCTTTCATGCCCAGAAAGACAGTGATGTTAACCATTTACTGTGGACCTCCTTGCGCTTTTTGTTTTGTTTTGTTTTTAATGAAAATTCTCTATCTCCCAGCTTCCAGGGTGTCAATTATCCATCCAGGTTTTTCCCTGATTCTCCATTACTGGTTCTCTGCTCCCTCTATTTGTCCCCATGTTAGTCCAGAGAAAAAGAACCAACAGGAGGTATCTATCAACCAATAGATAGATGATAGATTAGATAGATATAGATAGATAGATGATAGATAGATAGATAGATAGATAGATAGATAGATAGATAGATGATAGATAGATGATAGATAGATAGATAGATGATAGATAGATGATAGATAGATAGATAGTTAGATTGATAGATAGATGATAGATAGATAGATAGATAGATGATAGATAGAGAGATAGATAGATGATAGATAGATGATAGATAGATAGATAGATAGATAGTTAGATTGATAGATAGATGATAGATAGATGATAGATAGATAGATTGATAGATAGATGATAGATAGATAGATAGATAGATAGATGATAGATAGATTGATAGATGATAGATAGATAGATAGATAGTTAGATTGATAGATAGATGATAGATAGATAGATAGATGATAGATAGATAGATAGATGATAGATAGATAGATAGATAGATGATAGATAGATAGATAGATAGATAGATAGATGATAGATAGATAGATAGATGATAGATAGATAGATAGATAGATGATAGATAGATAGATAGATGATAGATAGATAGATAGATAGATGATAGATAGATAGATAGATAGATTGATAGATAGATAGATGATAGATAGATAGATGATAGATAGATAGATAGATAGATGATAGATAGATAGATGATAGATAGATAGATGATAGATAGATTGATAGATAGATGATAGATAGATAGATAGATAGATAGATAGATAGATGATAGATGATAGATAGATAGATAGATAGATAGATAGATAGATAGATAGATAGATGATAGATAGATAGATAGATTGATAGATAGATGATAGATAGATAGATAGATTGATAGATAGATTGATAGATAATCCCCAACCTCTTATGATGGTGCAATTTGAGATTTTTCAACTTCACAATGGTCAAAAGCTATATGCATTCAGTAGGAACGTGCTTCAAATTTTGAATTTGGATTTTTTCCCCAGGCTGTGTGATAGGATCCTGACGGCAAGCCGCAGCTCCTAGTCAGCCACATGATCACAGGGCTAAACAACCGATACACTTATAATCATTCTGTACCCATACAGCCATTCTGTTTTTCACTTTCAGTACAGTATTCAATACATTGCATGAGATACTTAAAAGTTGATTACAAAACGGGCTTTGTTTTTGATGATTTTGATCAACTGTAGGCTAATGTAAGTGTTCCAAGCATGTTAAAGGTAGGCTAGGCTAAGCTGTGGTGTTCTATAGGTTAGGTGTATTAAATGCATTGTTGACTTATGATATTTTCAACTTACGATGGGTTTATTGAGACATAACCCTATCATAAGTTGAGGAAGATCTATGCATATATATGTGTGTGTGTGTGTGTGTGTGTGTGTGTGTGTGCTCCTGCTCTCTCTCTCTCTCAAATAAATCATCTTTAAAAAAGAAAAGAAAAGGAAAGTTTATCTGAAATTCAAATTTAATTAAGCATCTTGTATTTTTTTTTTTGAGAGAGAGAGAGAAAACGTGTGTACATGCATGAGCAGTGGCGGGGGGGCAGAGGGGCAGAGGAAGAGTGAGAATCCCAAGCAGGCTCCACTCCCAGCATGGAGCCCAATGTGGGACTCAAACTCACGACTCTGAGATCACCACCTAAGCTGAAATTAAGAATTGGATGCTTAATCTACTGAGCCACCCAGGCGCCCTGCACCCCGTATTTTTATTTGCTAACTCTGACAACCCTCACCTGAACTGGGGTTCTACATTGCTTGCACTGGTCCCCACTCTCCCTTAGCCATGCATACAGCCCTCAGTGCAGCCTGACTCCTTGTCCCTGATCACCTGCCTGTCACCAATGTCACCACATGTTGACAATTTCTGTACCCTCATCACTGTGCTCTACCCACCTACAGATATCTCACCAGGTTGGAATCCTTCCATGCTCACCACCTGGCCTGACTGTGGCCATTTGGCCAAATCCTCTGAAGACTCTTTCTTACGATAAGCAGCTACGGAACAGTTTGCCCCTCACTCCACCCAGAACTTACACCACCCTGGCTCCTGATTGAGTTTTCCACCTGCATACAAACCACCCCCACCTTCCGTATAATATGAGGTCTTGTGGGAAGGGGGAAAATGTGGATATATAACTGATAAAAAGCCATCCCAGAGAGGCATGCCACAGCTCAGGGCAGCAGAATGAGCCCCAGAAAGGGGTGTAGATGGGATTTGTATTCAATATTTTTTCAACATGGATAAAGCTGGAAGCATCATGTTTATCAAATCAGTGAACTCCACAAGACTGGATGACATAGCTAACTCACTGACTTTTGGAATTAGAACCAAAATCAACAAGTTGAAATTGAACAGGAATAACAGGAACTGCTGTGTTCAGCTTGAGAATAGCAGTGACATAAGGTAGAACTGTGGCCAGCAGTTCAGATAAAGAAAACCTCAGCATTTTGGTTCAACACAAGTTCAAGGATGGGCATTATGTAGGAGCGGAAAAAAATAAGCCTTAGATTCAAACAAATCCTATCTCAATTTCTGATTTCACTACTGAATTCCTGTGGGCCCAAGTGTCTGTCTCCTTATTGTAAAATGGGTATAATACCAAACTCCCTAAACTGCGAGGATTGACAAGATAACATACATTAAGCATGTCATAGCATTGGAGGAGAATCTACTGAAACATTCATTTTTGTTTTGTTCTCTCTACTATAGGAGTCCAGAAGAAATGGGAAGACAAGATGTGTGCACTAGTATTTGAGTCCTTTCATGGCAGTTACATGGGAGAGTCAAAAGTAGAACTTGCCAACCACCAGAAGCCAGATAAGCCCCACAAAACACCAAGAGAGGAATCGGATTAATCAGTGAAAAGCATTGCCGGTGAGTGAAGGGGTTCCTAAGACTAGAGAAAGAACTAGGGCTCATGGCAGACACCAGTGCCGCATTCCCATGCAGACCCTTTTAAGAGGTGATGGGTCCTCAATGGGTGCCACTGGAAGGCCACGGCAACTGACCACTAAGAAGCCTGCATTGAGCACAAAAGTAAAGATCCCTGTGCCTAGCCTTGGCTCAGAAATCGTGGAGCCTCCTGCCTTTAAGGAACTGAGTTCATCTTGGCAGGAAGCACAAGTGTGGAGGCTAGTGTGGGCTCAAGGCCAGGGCTCTTCTTGGGTGCACGGGCTGTGAGAGACCTCTAAGATTCCTGTACAACTAAGGAGCAGGGCCTGGGGCGGGGGGTGGTGGTCGGGGGTGGTGATTAGGATTGAATTTCACGATTGACATTGATTTTACTGGCTGCCAAGTGAGTAGCAAATTGACCCGATGTAGGAGAATAAAGAAATATGATGTTTATTTTCATCCAAATATTAGGGGATATCATTCACACTCTCCACAAACTTGAAAAGGCTTGTGCAGTCAAACCGACTGAAGCCGAACCCAACCACACCACTGTGATTTAACCCACTTCTCCACGTATCATTTTTTTCACTTGCAAAAAAGAAAAATAATACCTACTTCACAAAGCTCTGGGGAGAACTGCATGAGATAACCTGTAATACAAATCCTAGCACAAGTCTCAGTGTAGTGTGCTTGCATTTTACACAAATTTGAATTCTGCAGATTTAAAAGAGTACAATTAAGATATAAGCCTCATTATATGGCAAAATTTGAAATAATGTGAATTCCATTTTATATTTATTTCACATGGAAATGCATCTTGAGTTGGTCTCATTTGCTAATCATTAATTGGATGTGGAGAATAAAAATAAAAGAAGTCTGGGGCACCTGGGTGGCTCAGTCGTTAAGCGTCTGCCTTCGGCTCAGGTCATGATCCCAGAGTCCTGGGATCGAGCCCCACATCAGGCTCCCTGCTCAGCAGGAGAACCTGCTTCTCCCTCTCCCTCTGCTCTTGCTTGTGTGCTCTCTCTCTCTCTCTCTCTTGCTCACTCTCTCTCTCAAATAAATAAATAAAATCTTAAAAAAAAAAAGAAATCTAAGATGACCCTCCAGTTCTAATTTGGGTAACAAGTGACAGTGCTATTTCCCAAAAGAAAGGCCAGGAATATGAAGGGGTGAAGAGAAATCTTGTACAGGCAGCGGGAAGGTGGGGTCTTAAAGTTGGACATACTAGGTAGTAGACACTGTGGAATGAACATTCAGGTGGAGTTACTTAGCAGGCATTGCTGATAATGGCCTGGGTCTCAGAGGAGAAATCTAGCTGGAGATGTACAGATTTGGGAGTCATGAGTAGACAACATATAACCTAAAGCATGTCTTTGACATCACCCAGAAATTGAGGATGGAGTGAGAAAAACAGAAAAGCAATGATGTAGCCCATACAAACACCGTCACATAAGAAGTGAATGGGAGCCTATTACCCTAAAGGAATCTTAGAAGGAATGATCAGAGAGATGGACAGAAAGCCAAGAGGGAGTGTGGTCACTGAGGCTGAGTTTAAGAGATACATTTAATGCTCAAGACGTTGTCATCCACATCAGATCACAGAAAGGTCAATAAAATCATAAAATTTTCGTTAGCTGTTGAAGGTCGATGGTAAGCCTAACTGCACAGCTTCAGTGAAAAAGTGGGAGCAAAGACGGGCGACAGGAATGTCCACTTTAAGGGAAGTAATACTTGTACTGGATGCTGTACTAACTGGGTCACACTTGGAAGACTTTTTCCAACTCTGGGTACTATTGAGTGTTGTATACTGATTGGAGGAGGAAGCCATTGCACAGGAAAAGGAGACAGGCATCAAGACCAGGTAGTGGAAATAGAAGATAAATTATAAAATTCAGGGAGAAACAAACAGATAGGTCATACTGTGGAGAAATGAGAAAGACAAAACAAAGAGGCACAGGCAGAAATGTGGTGACTTACATTCTTTTAACCACAAGACTGATGGTAGCCAGGAACACAGTGGGAATCAGACTCCATGGGGTTTAGGGTCTGAGAACAGTGCATTCTCCATTCCCTACTGCTTTGCCAAAGGACTCCATGATGCAAACAGCATTCTGAGGATATCCACAAGCTAAGAAGGAAACCATAAATGGTGCAATGATCTGGAAAGCTCTCTCTCCTAGATAGAGATACCCAGATCAAAAGTTTGAACTTGAACCTGGGTGTCCAAGTCACACTTTGGGCTGCTGCTTCTCCTACTGATTCTTGCCCGACTCGGTGTTAAGTAATAAGTCATGAATATTCATTGTCTTGTGGAGTTTTCTCTTCCATTGCCACTTGAAGGAAAACCTCAGAACCAGGATAAGGAGGGAGCTGAGCATAAGGGTAGGAAATGATGCAGGCAACATATACCTGGGGAGCTCCCCTTCCCTTCAAAGGGTTGGGCCACTCAGAGTGGGGATAACACGTGGTCCACTCTATGAGGAACCGGCAAATAGAGAATTCTCAGAAGATGGCAACCAAGAAAGTCTCAGAAGTGGCGATGGGGAGGGGTGAGACTAGAAACTGTCATAAAAGAATAAACAGTTGGCTGAACTGGGAATTTGTGACCATGAAAGGACTACCGAATAAAATTATAGCTGTGTTTAAATAATTGACAAATGTAGTCTTAATCCTTGTGGATGCAGGAAAAGGAATGAGGGACGGAAGGTAGGAGGGCAGCAGCTTTCTCTGATATGAGGAACAACTTCCTATTTATCCAAGCCTTCCCCAAATGGAACATAATAACCTCAAAGTCAACAGCCTCTCCAAGACATAAAGCATTAAGCTCAAGGCAAGATAAACATAACTGTTAATGGAGATTTTTCATTCTCTTGGCCTCCTCATATTTCCATCTGGAAGCATTTCGGTAACACCATATGCCTCTCTCTCTCAACCCTCATGCCTCCGCAGGAGAAGAGGAGGGACACACTGACTGAGGAGTTTGGGAGAAAGAACCAGGCCTACAAGTCAGCTCCAGCTCTGCTCTGCCCCTGACCTGAATGCAAGATGCCTGCACCTGGCCGCTCTCAGTAGCCTGAGGAAGGTCTGCGGTTGTCCAGCTATGCAGTGACTGAGGGTAAGTTTATCTGATTCAGGCCAGCCACCTTGGTCAATGCTCTTAATCCATAGTTTCCTATCAGCTGTATCAGATTAATATTGAGATCTCCCGTCTGTCAACTTTTCAATTGGTTGCAAACTCAGACAAGGAAGAGATGTTATTATATTGCCCCTAAAACCTCACATGTATCTGTGAGGAATATTGTCCTGGGAAAAAGTTTGGACCACATAACTAAAGTTGTTCTATGTGTAGGATTCTATGACTTTATGACTCTTCAGATACTCCTAGGACCTTCTAACTTCATGTCTCATTGACATTTCAAGCTCAATGAACCTAAAATTAAATTTCTCTTCCCCCCAAACCAGCTCACTCTCCCAACACTGCCCCACACTGCTGCACATCCAAGGTACAACAGGCCTCATATTCATTCAGATTAAAAAGGTTAAAGTTCGGGGCACTTGGGTGGTTCAGTTGTTAAGTGTCTGCCTTCAGCCCAGGCAGCTGGGATGGAGCCCCACATTGGGCTCCCTGCTCTGCGGGAGCCTGCTTCTCCCTCTCCCGCTCCCCCCTGCTTGTGTTCCCTCTCTCGCTGTGTCTCTATCAAATAAATAAAATCTTAAAAAAAAAAAAAAGTTAAATTTCCCAAATGGTAGGGAAGTTGAAAATGTTCCTACCATAATTTCAAATCAGTACCAACATCAGTGAATGGTGGTCAAAAGCCCAACTATGATTGCTACGATTTAGTGAAAGCGTGGAGAAGAGAGGGCGAAAGTCAACATCCAGAAGAGCCATCAGGGAGCTGGGGGTGGGGGGTGAGGGGAGAGTGAGAAACTTATCATGAGGGCAAAAAAATTATTCCCAGAGGAGGTAACTAGGAAGTGTCATGCCCTAGAAGCCAAAAAAAAAAAAAAAAAGGTATTTCAAGAAAAAAATATAGTCAAATGCTACAGAAAGAGCAAGGAAAGTGTGAGGTGAGCATGGGCTATTGGATTTGATTTTAAGAAATTCCTGGAATGAGAATAAGTTTGTAGTGGTGGGGCTGAAAGAGCAAAAAAATCGTTCTTCATTCATTCATTCGACCAACATTTACTGAGCATTTAGAGGTTGTGAATTCAAAGCATGTAAGACACTGTCCCTATCCTCAAGGCACTTATAGTCCAAGAGGAAAACAGAAACTAAGAAATTATAACAGACAGTAAAGAAGTGCCTCGGGACCTCTAGGAACACATATGATAGGTAGTTAACTGAGATTAAGGGAGAGGACAGAAGAGCAAATTTGACACCTGGCTGTGCCCAAGCAGAAGTGAGCCAGTCAAAGATGAGAAGGGGCTCTAAGCAGAAGGGGCTTAATGGTGGGAGGGAGTGCCTTGCACTTGGGCAATGGGAGTAACTTAGCAGGACTGGAGCCAAGGATTCCTGTGAGGAAATGGTGGAGAATGAAGCTGAGAGGCAGGGAAGGGCTAGAACATGAAGGGCCCTGGGGGGCATGATAAAGCCAATGGTGAGTCAGCGATTTTAAGCAGGAAAGGAATGTGAATACAAATGACTTTAGAAGGGCACCTGAATGGCTCCAGCGGTTGGACATCTGACTCTTGATTTCGGCTTAGGTCATGACCTCAGGGTCATGAGATTGAGTTCTACGTCCAGCTTGGCACTCTGCACGGAGTCTGCTTGAGATTCTCTCTCCCCCTCTAGATCTCTGCCCCTCCCCCCACTCAATAAATAAATAAATAACAAAATCTGGTTTTTAAATGCGACTTTAAAAAGACAGCTCTGGGGGGGCAAATGAAAAATGAGCTGGGAAGTCAAGGTCAAGAGTAGGTGCTGGAAGCCCCATTTAAGTAGCTTTGATAATGTCACTGATAGGTATTAAGTGCCAAAGAGAATGGAGAGGAGACAGTAAGAGAGATTACAGATTTAAAAAGGAAAGAATATGCAGTGGGGGATAAAGGAAAGAAGTCAAAGGTAATTCCTAAATTCTACCTAGGTCAATTGAGTCAGTGAGATGCCATTCATTTAGAAACAGGATAACAGAAGAGGGTTGGAGGAAGGAAATGATGAGTTCTATTTTGGAGATGATGAATTTGGCTTCTACCTTTGGAACACCCAGGTCGAGACTGTTTAAAAGCAATTTCTGAGTGTCTCAATGGGCAGATGGGATGTAATGTCAAGAAGTTTGACAACATATATAAGGAGAAAAATAGAATATTAACTCGAGAGAAGGATTGAGAAATGTTTTAAAGGAGTGAGTTGAATACATTTACAGACATCAGGGAACAAGTCAATGAAGACCAAGAAATTTAAGATGATGGGGCCAGGAAAGGCACAGGGAAGGAGCAGGGTAGAGCTCTCTCCTATTTAATCTTACCTTGTGGTGCAATAAAAGGAGAGTTGTCTTCTGAACATAAAACACAAACTCTTGAGTTAATTAGTAAATTGCTTCAGCACAGATCATAAGCCATCAAAAACAGATGGCAAACTGCTAAAATGAATTAGACTCCACCAACCATTTCAATGGAACATTGTATGGTATGGAAAGAAAAACACTTGGCAAGACAAGAAGCATGAGTCAGGAATAAGTGTTGAGTGCTGTGAGTCACGCATTTAAGATCAGTAAAAACCTGGCTCTGCTCTGGACTTAATACTTCTGAGCTTCCCACCTCTCTGGTCACTCAGGCTCAAAGATACCGTATCAGGCTCCTCACTCACCGTTTCACTCCACAGAGTGCTGCTCCCAGAATTCTGTTAACATTTTGCTTCCCACTTGGGTCCTTTCCCTTCCTCTGTGTGTGTGTGTGTGTGTGTGTGTGTGTGCGCGCGCGCGCGCGTGCGCGCGTGCATTGGCAATGAGTAGTTTTTTTTTTAATTGATATGCAGCTGACATACAATGTTATATTAGTTTCAGGTGTAGAGCACAGTGATTCAACATTTATATACATGACAAAGTGATCACCACAATAAATCTAGCTACTGCCTATCACCGTACAATGTTGTTACATATTATTAACTCTATTCCCTGTGCTGTACCTTGTATCCCTGTGTCCTATTTATTTGATAATGGGAAATTTTAATCCCCTTCCCCTGGTTCACCCATACCTCCACCCTCCTCTCTCCCCTCCAGCAACCACCAGATTGTTCTCTGTATCTATGTGTCTGTTTCTGTTTTGTTTTGTTTGTTCATTTGTTTTGTCATTTATAATCCACGCATCATTCCCATCGATGCTATCCTTGTGCTCATTCTTAGAGAAAGCCCCTTCTGTTTTCAGACTTCACCCCATATCCACAACTCAACCACCCCTGAAACGTTTCTCCCATTTTCTTGGCCTTATTTTTCTTTCAATTCTTTCAACAAATATCCCACAGAGAGAAGCCTCCCCTGACAGAGTAGCATACTCTAGTCGTTCTTATTTTTAAGTGAGATCTAATTGACATACAGCTTTATATTAGTTTCAGGTGTACAACACAGTGATTGCATTTTTATAAATATTGCAAAGTGATCACCACAATAAATCTAGTTAACATCCATCACCACACAGTTAAAATTTTTTTCTTGTGATGAAAACTTTTAAGATCTACTCCCTTAGGAACTTTCAAATTGTAGAATATTATTAACTAGAGTCACCATACTGCACATTATATTCCTATGACATTTATTTTATAACTGGAAGTTTGTCCCTTTTGACCCCCTTTGCCCATTTTGCCCACTCCCCCACACTATTCCACTGGCAACCACCAATCTGTCTTCTGTATCTATGAGTTCAGTTTTTTTCATTTTGTTTCTGTTTATTTGTTTGTTTTAGATTCCACATGTAAGTGAGATTATATAGTATTTGTCTGTCTTCCTCTGACTTACTTCCCATAGCATAATGCCCTCAAGGTCCATCCATGTTTTTGCAAATGGCACAATTTCCTTCTTTTAAATGGCTGAATATATATATTACCCCATTTTCTTTTTCCATTCATCTCAATAATAGTAACTTCCACTAAGAAATTATTATATGCTGGGCATCGTTCTAAGTGCTTCATATGTATTAACTCATTTAATCTTCATAATAGCAAATACAGGAGAGACTTTTTTTAATTATCTGCCCATTACAAGGGCGACAACTTAAAAACCAAAAGATTAAGCAACATGGCCAAGGTCACACAGCTAGTGACAGGACGGGCCACCCCCACTCTAGAGCACACACTCTCCATTTCCAAGTAGCTGCCTCTTTCTGTGGAGTAGTTCTTCATCTTAGGAATGATGTATCATTTTACAAAGGTGGTTCCTGCTAAAATTAATGTAGCATCTTCTACAACTTGTCATTAAAACTTTATAGGAAAATCATTTGTAAACTATTTAACTTAGTATTACTGATTAGAACAGACATGACAAAATCAAGGCCCATGGACCAGAGCAGTCTTCCACCAAAAATAAGCTGATCCTAAAACAATTTTTAGATGTTTTGCTCCATCTGCTTTTTCGCCCACACCCCAGATGGAGCCAACACACACACAGTTCCTTGATAGAGCAAGGCTTTAGAACCTTCCATCATCTGAAGTTTCCATAGTACATGCCTATGAAACCTGGAACCACTCTTTGCTTCAGTGAATTGAGGTCATACTGACCCCCGAGGTTATCAAAACATGGATTCAAAAAGTCATTGAGAATTATCTTTTGTTTTACAATTCTAAGTAATTTAATCCAACAGGCCTGAACCATCTGATTCTTCTCCTGCAACATGGTACAAGTTTTTTTTTTTTTTTTTTTTTTTTTTTTTTAAAGATTTTATTTATTTGAGACAGAGAGAATGAGAGAGAGAGCACATGAGAGGGGGGAGGGTCAGAGGGAGAAGCAGGCTCCTTGCCGAGCAGGGAGCCCGATGCGGGACTCGATCCAGGGACTCCAGGATCATGACCTGAGCCGAAGGCAGTCGCTTAACCAACTGAGCCACCCAGGCGCCCGACATGGTACAAGTTTTAATAGCTATCCAGGGTTTTGGGTGTTTTGTTTTGTTTTGTTTTCTAAGTGAGAA